GTGTTTAACAGGACGAGTAACAGTTACTGTAGTGTTGTACTCGCGTGTTTAACAGGACGAGTAACAGTTACTGTAGTGTTGTGCTCGCGTGTTTAACAGGACGAGTAACGGTTACTGTAGTGTTGTGCTCGCGTGTTTAACAGGACGAGTAACAGTTACTGTAGTGTTGTACTCGCGTGTTTAACAGGACGAGTAACAGTTACTGTAGTGTTGTACTCGTGTGTTTAACAGGACGAGTAACGGTTACTGTAGTGTTGTGCTCGCGTGTTTAACAGGACGAGTAACAGTTACTGTAGTGTTGTGCTCGCGTGTTTAACAGGACGAGTAACGGTTACTGTAGTGTTGTGCTCGCGTGTTTAACAGGACGAGTAACAGTTACTGTAGTGTTGTGCTCGCGTGTTTAACAGGACGAGTAACAGTTACTGTAGTGTTGTACTCGTGTGTTTAACAGGACGAGTAACGGTTACTGTAGTGTTGTGCTCGCGTGTTTAACAGGACGAGTAACAGTTACTGTAGTGTTGTACTCACGTGTTTAACAGGACGAGTAACAGTTACTGTAGTGTTGTGCTCGCGTGTTTAACAGGACGAGTAACAGTTACTGTAGTGTTGTACTCGCGTGTTTAACAGGACGAGTAACAGTTACTGTAGTGTTGTACTCGCGTGTTTAACAGGAAGAGTAACAGTTACTGTAGTGTTGTACTCGCGTGTTTAACAGGACGAGTAACAGTTACTGTAGTGTTGTACTCGCGTGTTTAACAGGACGGGTAACAGTTACTGTAGTGTTGTGCTCGCGTGTTTAACAGGACAAGTAACAGTTACTGTAGTGTTGTACTCGCGTGTTTAACAGGACGAGTAACAGTTACTGTAGTGTTGTACTCGTGTGTTTAACAGGACGAGTAACGGTTACTGTAGTGTTGTGCTCGCGTGTTTAACAGGACGAGTAACGGTTACTGTAGTGTTGTACTCGCGTGTTTAACAGGACGAGTAACAGTTACTGTAGTGTTGTACTCGCGTGTTTAACGGGACGAGTAACAGTTACTGTAGTGTTGTACTCGCGTGTTTAACAGGACGAGTAACAGTTACTGTAGTGTTGTACTCGCGTGTTTAACAGGACGAGTAACAGTTACTGTAGTGTTGTACTCGCGTGTTTAACAGGACGAGTAACAGTTACTGTAGTGTTGTACTCGTGTGTTTAACAGGACGAGTAACAGTTACTGTAGTGTTGTACTCGCGTGTTTAACGGGACGAGTAACAGTTACTGTAGTGTTGTGCTCGTGTGTTTAACAGGACGAGTAACATTTCCTGTAGTGTTGTACTCGCGTGTTTAACAGGACGGGTAACAGTTACTGTAGTGTTGTGCTCGTGTGTTTAACAGGACGAGTAACGGTTACTGTAGTGTTGTGCTCGCGTGTTTAACAGGACGAGTAACAGTTACTGTAGTGTTGTACTCGCGTGTTTAACAGGACGGGTAACAGTTACTGTAGTGTTGTGCTCGCGTGTTTAACAGGACAAGTAACAGTTACTGTAGTGTTGTACTCGCGTGTTTAACAGGACGAGTAACAGTTACTGTAGTGTTGTGCTCGTGTGTTTAACAGGACGAGTAACGGTTACTGTAGTGTTGTGCTCGCGTGTTTAACAGGACGAGTAACAGTTACTGTAGTGTTGTACTCGCGTGTTTAACAGGACGGGTAACAGTTACTGTAGTGTTGTGCTCGCGTGTTTAACAGGACAAGTAACAGTTACTGTAGTGTTGTACTCGCGTGTTTAACAGGACGAGTAACAGTTACTGTAGTGTTGTACTCGCGTGTTTAACAGGACGAGTAACAGTTACTGTAGTGTTGTACTCGCGTGTTTAACAGGACGGGTAACAGTTACTGTAGTGTTGTGCTCGCGTGTTTAACAGGACAAGTAACAGTTACTGTAGTGTTGTACTCGCGTGTTTAACAGGACGAGTAACAGTTACTGTAGTGTTGTACTCGCGTGTTTAACAGGACAAGTAACAGTTACTGTAGTGTTGTACTCGCGTGTTTAACAGGACGAGTAACAGTTACTGTAGTGTTGTACTCGCGTGTTTAACAGGACGAGTAACAGTTACTGTAGTGTTGTGCTCGCGTGTTTAACAGGACGAGTAACGGTTACTGTAGTGTGCTCGCGTGTTTAACAGGACGAGTAACAGTTACTGTAGTGTGCTCGCGTGTTTTACAGGACGAGTAACGGTTACTGTAGTGTGCTCGCGTGTTTAACGGGACGAGTAACAGTTACTGTAGTGTTGTACTCGCGTGTTTAACAGGACGGGTAACAGTTACTGTAGTGTTGTGCTCGCGTGTTTAACAGGACGAGTAACGGTTACTGTAGTGTGCTCGCGTGTTTAACAGGACGAGTAACAGTTACTGTAGTGTTCGCGTGTTTAACAGGACGAGTAACGGTTACTGTAGTGTGCTCGCGTGTTTAACGGGACGAGTAACAGTTACTGTAGTGTTGTACTCGCGTGTTTAACGGGACGGGTAACAGTTACTGTAGTGTTGTGCTCGCGTGTTTAACAGGACGAGTAACGGTTACTGTAGTGTGCTCGCGTGTTTAACGGGACGAGTAACAGTTACTGTAGTGTTGTGCTCGCGTGTTTAACAGGACGAGTAACAGTTACTGTAGTGTTGTACTCGTGTGTTTAACAGGACGAGTAACAGTTACTGTAGTGTTGTACTCGCGTGTTTAACAGGACGGGTAACAGTTACTGTAGTGTTGTACTCGCGTGTTTAACAGGACGAGTAACAGTTACTGTAGTGTTGTACTCGCGTGTTTAACAGGACGAGTAACAGTTACTGTAGTGTTGTACTCGCGTGTTTAACAGGACGAGTAACAGTTACTGTAGTGTTGTACTCGCGTGTTTAACAGGAAGAGTAACAGTTACTGTAGTGTTGTACTCGCGTGTTTAACAGGACGAGTAACAGTTACTGTAGTGTTGTACTCGCGTGTTTAACAGGACGAGTAACAGTTACTGTAGTGTTGTACTCGCGTGTTTAACAGGACGAGTAACAGTTACTGTAGTGTTGTACTCGCGTGTTTAACAGGACGAGTAACAGTTACTGTAGTGTTGTACTCGCGTGTTTAACAGGACGAGAAACAGTTACTGTAGTGTTGTACTCGCGTGTTTAACAGGACGAGTAACAGTTACTGTAGTGTTGTACTCGCGTGTTTAACTGGACGAGTAACAGTTACTGTAGTGTTGTACTCGCGTGTTTAACAGGAAGAGTAACAGTTACTGTAGTGTTGTACTCGCGTGTTTAACTGGACGAGTAACAGTTACTGTAGTGTTGTACTCGCGTGTTTAACAGGACGAGTAACAGTTACTGTAGTGTTGTGCTCGCGTGTTTAACTGGACGAGTAACAGTTACTGTAGTGTTGTACTCGCGTGTTTAACGGGAAGAGTAACAGTTACTGTAGTGTTGTACTCGCGTGTTTAACGGGAAGAGTAACAGTTACTGTAGTGTTGTACTCGCATGTTTAACGGGACGAGTAACAGTTACTGTAGTGTTGTACTCGCGTGTTTAACAGGATGAGTAACAGTTACTGTAGTGTTGTACTCGCGTGTTTAACAGGATGAGTAACAGTTACTGTAGTGTTGTACTCGCGTGTTTAACAGGACGAGTAACAGTTACTGTAGTGTTGTACTCGCGTGTTTAACAGGACGAGTAACAGTTACTGTAGTGTTGTACTCGCGTGTTTAACGGGAAGAGTAACAGTTACTGTAGTGTTGTACTCGCGTGTTTAACAGGATGAGTAACAGTTACTGTAGTGTTGTACTCGCGTGTTTAACAGGACGAGTAACAGTTACTGTAGTGTTGTACTCGCGTGTTTAACAGGACGAGTAACAGTTACTGTAGTGTTGTACTCGCGTGTTTAACGGGAAGAGTAACAGTTACTGTAGTGTTGTACTCGCATGTTTAACGGGACGAGTAACAGTTACTGTAGTGTTGTACTCGCGTGTTTAACAGGACGAGTAACAGTTACTGTAGTGTTGTACTCGCGTGTTTAACGGGAAGAGTAACAGTTACTGTAGTGTTGTACTCGCATGTTTAACGGGAAGAGTAACAGTTACTGTAGTGTTGTACTCGCATGTTTAACGGGACGAGTAACAGTTACTGTAGTGTTGTGCTCGCGTGTTTAACAGGATGAGTAACAGTTACTGTAGTGTTGTACTCGCGTGTTTAACGGGAAGAGTAACAGTTACTGTAGTGTTGTACTCGCGTGTTTAACGGGAAGAGTAACAGTTACTGTAGTGTTGTACTCGCATGTTTAACGGGAAGAGTAACAGTTACTGTAGTGTTGTACTCGCATGTTTAACGGGACGAGTAACAGTTACTGTAGTGTTGTACTCGCGTGTTTAACAGGACGAGTAAGAGTTACTGTAGTGTTGTACTCGTGTGTTTAACAGGATGAGTAACAGTTACTGTAGTGTTGTACTCGTGTGTTTAACAGGACGAGTAACAGTTACTGTAGTGTTGTACTCGCGTGTTTAACAGGATGAGTAACAGTTACTGTAGTGTTGTACTCGCGTGTTTAACAGGATGAGTAACAGTTACTGTAGTGTTGTACTCGCATGTTTAACGGGACGAGTAACAGTTACTGTAGTGTTGTACTCGCGTGTTTAACAGGATGAGTAACAGTTACTGTAGTGTTGTACTCGCGTGTTTAACAGGACGAGTAAGAGTTACTGTAGTGTTGTACTCGTGTGTTTAACAGGATGAGTAACAGTTACTGTAGTGTTGTACTCGTGTGTTTAACAGGACGAGTAACAGTTACTGTAGTGTTGTACTCGCGTGTTTAACAGGATGAGTAACAGTTACTGTAGTGTTGTACTCGCGTGTTTAACAGGATGAGTAACAGTTACTGTAGTGTTGTACTCGCGTGTTTAACAGGACGGGTAACGGTTACTGTAGTGTTGTACTCAGTGACTGTGTTTTGTCTTGAGTAACGGTGTTCCGTCTCTCTCCGCGTCTCAGGGCAGCTGACGATGATCGTAGGGCAGGTGGGATGTGGGAAATCCTCTCTCTTACTGGCGGCACTGGGAGAAATGCAGAAGATTTCTGGAAACATCACATGGAACAGGTGAAAACAACATTAATGGATCATAAAACGACGAGTGTCCATGCTATATTGTGAATGTAGTCGTCGTATTACAGTACTGAAGTGAGAGTGCAATTATATTCTTCTACACAAAGTCTTTTTCTCTAACTTGGCTTCCATAAGGTGTGTGTTTGAGTTAATGCTTCATGAAAGGAAATGTCAATATTAGGACTATTATCGGTTACTAAAACAAAATATATTAAAACATTTACTTTAATTGCAATCAAGCTAAAATAAAAGTAAGTGTAAATAATTAAAAAATGAAGAAAAAAAAACTAAATTAAAAATATTTCTACAGCATTTATTAATCTCAGCTAATGTTAATTTCAACATTTACTGACAAAAATATCAAAAGTTGTATCTGTTAATATTAGTTAATGGACCTGAGCTGACATGAATAACAATGAAGTAGTTTTATAAAGTAATGTTAACAAAGATTAATAAGTGTAACTAATGTATTGCTCATTGTTAGTTCATTTTAGTTGAGCCATTAACTAACCTTAACTAATGGAACCTTATTGTAAAGTGTTACCATAACATTTAAATAATCATATCATATAATAAAAATAATACAAAATAAATGAATGAATAAAAAAATGAAGAATGAAATTGAAAAAATGAAAAAAAAAATTTTTTATAAATGAATTAAAAAAGTGTGTAATAAAATTACAGAAAAAATTAACTAAAATTAAAACAAACAAAAAATCGAATTAATAATTTATTAAAAACTGTAACAATACTTAAGTAACACTGTATTGATCAATCAGCCTCTGTGCATTTTGAAATCCATTTGTTAATCCACTTTATAATCAACATTAATATCTTGTACCATTTTGTGTTTAATTTTTACATTTTTAGATATTGTATTGGTTTGCATATAATTACTGCTTCATTTTCTCACAGTTTACCCAAGAGTGATTCAGAAGAAAATGCGAGGTATAATATATTATTGATTTGATTTATCAATATATATATATATATATATATGATTTCTGTATTTGTTTTTATTTAAATCATTCATCATAATTATTCATCCTATTTCTCTTCTGTCTGACAGAGCTCATCATACGAGTGGAAGGCCGTCACTGCCGTAATTATTATGATTATTATTTCCCCAGCGTTCTGTCCCGATGCGTGTGTTCCTGTGTGTTCAGAGTGTGGTTGTGTGTTTCAGGAAGAGAGGTTCGGTAGCCTACGCTTCCCAGAGGCCGTGGCTCTTAAACGCCACCGTTGAGGAGAACATCTTGTTCGACATGGCTCCCAATGAGAAGAGGTATCCCACACACTAGGGGTGCAGCAATATAGCATCTCACAATATATCGCAATACATCAATATGTATCTTAATTAGTTCACAAAAAATTAAAATTACTGCATGAGAAGTTTTTAGAGTTTGAAAAAGTTTTGATAATGTTGAATATAATGTATTATAATGCAACATCCAAAGGTCATGCATCATTATCTTATTTTCTCCAGATATAACAATCATTTGGGATTATGAGGAAAATCAATCACAATCTCAAGAAACCAAGAACACAATAATAATAACAATAATGCATGGCCACTGCTGGCTTCCTTATGTTTCAAAACATAATTTCAGTTTGGCTTACACACCTTTAATAGAACTGAACATTTGATATTCAACTATTTTATTTTAATATCTTTTTGGTATTAACGTTGTACCCCTGATGTAGCATTCAATATGTTGTGTATTTATGTTGACTAGGGGTGTAACAATATATCATGTCACAATATATTGCAAATACAAAAAATGCAACAATATCTATCGTGGATAGAGACAATATGTATTAAGTTTAAAAATTACTGTGTGAGGAATAAAATTTAATATAATGTATAATAATGCAATGGGGGATATTTGTGGGTTCTGATAATCCCAAATGTCTGATGTTACCAGTAAAAAGTGGCCAACATTATTTTAAATATATCTAGTCAGTGACAGAGATCAAGCATATTCATCTAAAATAAATCAGTTTTCAGCTTCAGAATCATGAATATTGTTATTCTGGTGTCTCTATTGTCCTGTGCTTTGGGAGTCCAAGCCTGTTCATTTACACACACAATGTAATACTTAATTTAGCATTTTAATCAACATTTAATTTTTTGTTAGCCTTTTACCATATGTTTGGAGTATCGCAGTAATATGGTATCGTGAGTTCAGTATCGTGATATGTGTCAAGTCGTGACATGAGGGAATCGCTACACCGCTACCGCACACAGATCCCTGTGATTCCCTAATGCATCCCATCATGTCCCGAACTCCGGGATGTTCAGTCATGTGTGTGTGTGTGTGTGTGTGTGTGTGTGTGTGTGTGTGTGTGTGTGTGTGTGTGTGTGTGTGTGTGTGTGTGTGTGTGTGTGTGTGTGTGTGTGTGTGTGTGTGTGTGTGTGTGTGTGTGTGTGTGTGTGTGTGTGTGTGTGTGTGTGTGTGTGTGTGTGTGTGTGTGTGTGTGTGTGTGTGTGTGTGTGTGTGTGTGTGAAAACTGCACAAACACAAAGGCTCCGGCTGCTGGTTTACTCTCGGCCAGAGGCGGGAGAGAAATGGTTTTATCTGCTTTACAGATTAACAACCAGGAATAACAGTGGGATTTCAATGGGATTCCCGAAGGGCAGTGTTGTCAGCGGGAAAGGTTTCATGTTATATAAGAGTATCTGTGAGAGTTGCCCATTTACAGACGTGGAGTTCCCCGCTGGTTCACAGTTAGATCAGTGCTATTTTACTATCATTGATAGATTAGATTTTGCTTTTAAATTTTCTGTTTTAATTTTAATTGTAAAAGTTTGAATGATTTTATTAATTTTTGTCAATATAGTTGTCATTTATTTGTATGTTAGTTTATTTAGTTTTAGTTATTTTAGTACTTCAACTTAATTTTAAGCAAATTGGCAACTAGATGAAATAAAATAAGTTTAAGTTTTTTTTAATTTTATTTTTATTTCAGTCAATGCGTATTTGACTATATATATATATATATATATATATATATAAATTGTGAATTTACTTCGAATCAATTTTAACTCAGAAATTGCAAGTAAATTTCACAAAAAAATTCAAAGAAACGGCAAGTAACACATTGAATGAAACAAAGTTTTGAAGTAGAAAGAGTAAAATAGTATTTTGTTGTTAAACATAGGCTACTTTAATAATCTGTTTTAATTTTAACTTCAATAATTTTCTTTTTTTTAGTTTCATCCTTTTTAACTTCAGATTTTTGGCTTTGGATTTTTGCAGTTTTACAGTACAACATGTTTTTAAAAATATATATTTTATATAAAATATGAATAATATATATTTTTTTTTACATTGTAAATTTTCATAAACTTAAACTTCTATAACTTTTTTTCTGTTTCACTTTCTTAATTTATTTCACTTCTACAAAAATCTGCCAAATGTCTTCTTTAAAACAACGACCAATCTTACGTCTATATTCCAAAGCATTCTTGAATTACAACCATTTAAGTTCAGAATGTGCATTTTCATGTCTATAAAAAAAACGTGCGTGACACTTAAAGGGTTAAATGTTCCTTTATGAGCCCAATAAAATACATAAATGCTTTAAAGAATGTAAGTGCAATATGAAAACGTGTATTTTTTAACAGGACATGTTATAAATAATAAATCTGATATCAAATATGATACACTACTGCTACTACTAATGTGTTTGATTGACAGTTTCAAACTTTGAACTGCTTTATAATGACTGAGATGTTGTCCGTCAGATATAAGGAGGTGATGGAGGTCTGTCAGCTTCAGCCAGACGTCGACACACTTCCACAGGGAGATCAGACGATGATTGGAGAGAGGGTACGTCTCACACACACTGATCCAAACACACATTCTGCTCATATTCTGCTCACATTCTGCTCATATTCTGATCATACTCTGATCATATTCTGCTCATATTCTGCCCATAATCTGCCCATATTCTGCTCATATTCTGCTGATATTCTGCTCATATTCTGCTGATATTCTGCTCATATTCTGATCATACTCTGCTCATATTCTGATCATACTCTGCTCATATTCTGATCATAATCTGCTCATAATCTGCCCATATTCTGCTCATATTCTGCTGATATTCTGATCATACTCTGCTCATATTCTGCTCATATTCTGATCATACTCTGCTCATATTCTGATCATACTCTGCTCATATTCTGATCATACTCTGCTCATATTCTGATCATACTCTGCTCATATTCTGATCATAATCTGCTCATATTCTGCTCATACTCTGCTCATATTCTGATGATATTCTGCTCATATTCAGATCATACTCTGCTCATATTCTGATGATATTCTGCTCATATTCAGATCATACTCTGCTCATATTCTGATCATACTCTGCTCATATTCTGATGATATTCTGCTCATATTCTGATCATACTCTGCTCATATTCTGATCATACTCTGCTCATATTCTGCTCATATTCTGATGATATTCTGCTCATATTCTGATCATACTCTGCTCATACTCTGCTCATATTCTGCTCATATTCAGATCATACTCTGCTCATATTCTGCTCATGTTCTGATGATATTCTGCTCATATTCTGATCATACTCTGCTCATATTCTGCTCATATTCTGATGATATTCTGCTCATATTCTGATCATACTCTGCTCATATTCTGCTCATATTCTGATGATATTCTGCTCATATTCTGATCATACTCTGCTCATACTCTGCTCATATTCTGATCATACTCTGCTCATATTCTGCTCATATTCTGATGATATTCTGCTCATATTCTCATCATACTCTGCTCATACTCTGCTCATATTCTGCTCATATTCTGATCATACTCTGCTCATATTCTGCTCATATTCTGATGATATTCTGCTCATATTCTGATCATACTCTGCTCATATTCTGATGATATTCTGCTCATATTCTGCTCATACTCTGCTCATATTCTGCTCATATTCTGATGATATTCTGATCATACTCTGCTCATATTCTGATCATACTCTGCTCATATTCTGCTCATATTCTGATGATATTCTGCTCATATTCTGATCATACTCTGCTCATATTCTGATGATATTCTGCTCATATTCTGCTCATACTCTGCTCATATTCTGCTCATATTCTGATGATATTCTGATCATACTCTGCTCATATTCTGCTCATATTCTGATCATACTCTGCTCATATTCTGCTCATATTCTGATGATATTCTGCTCATATTCTGATCATACTCTGCTCATATTCTGCTCATATTCTGATGATATTCTGCTCATATTCTGATCATACTCTGCTCATATTCTGCTCATATTCTGATCATACTCTGCTCATATTCTGATCATACTCTGCTCATATTCTGATGATATTCTGATGATAATCTGCTCATATTCTGATCATACTCTGCTCATATTGCCTGAACTAGTGCTGGAACGGATCACAAAACTCACGGTTCGCATCATTTACGCTTTTTGAGCCATGGATCGGATCATTTTTCGGATCAGCAAAAAAAAAGAAAAGACAGAAAATTATATATATATATATATATATAAAGTCAGTAATAAAATAAGATACACATATACACAAATTACAAGCAGAGAAAAAAACTAAATAACAAAGTTACAAAGTCTATAGTATTCAGGTACAGAAATGAATAATTAAGTCTAAATGTAAAATAACACTATTTGTTCACTCTATAAATTAAATATAGATTTGTGTGTATGTGTCTGTTCAAGGGCAAGGAAACGCGTCTGAAACTCTCCCTCTCCCTAAATCTCTCTCTCTCTGTCTGTGTAAATTGGCATGACATAACACGTCCAAATGATAAACGTTCACTCCATGATGGGTAAATGTATCAGTTAATCCGCGAATCACGCGCGTGCCGAACCGTGAGACCTGATCCGTACGGGTCACCTGCGACCCGTTCCAGCGCCGGTCTGACCGGAGGTGTGTGTGTCCCGGGTCCAGGGCATCATTCTCTCCGGAGGCCAGCGCCAGCGGATCAGCGTGGCTCGAGCGCTGTACCAGCACACCAATGTGGTTTTCCTGGTGAGTTATGAGAAATGCTACACTTATAAAAAAAGCCTCGTTCAGTAAAAATAAGCCCCGCAACCGTCACTTCCAGGACGACCCGTTTTCAGCTCTGGACATTCACCTCAGTGACCATCTCATGCACGAGGGGATCCTCAAGTTCCTCCGGCAGGAAAAGAGGACCGTTGTGCTGGTCACACACAAACTGCAGTATTTACCTCATGCAGACTGGGTAGGGGCTTTTCATTTATTATTCTTTTTTTATGTACAATGTGTTGAATTACATGATTGACTAATTAGCATGTCAGTTTTATTATGACGTTTGCAGTCATTAAGTCGTCATACATTTACATAATTTAAGCATTTTCAGAGCAATTAAAAAAGCATCCGGAGCATACATATTATCTATGGAATGCCAAAGCTGACATAAATAAATGTAAAAAACAAAACAAAACAAAAAAGTAATTATAAATAAATACATAAAGAAATATACAAAGAAATTAAATGCATACATACATAAATAAAGAAAAAAATATATAAATACTCATTTATTTATTTTCATTTCATTGTATATTTCTGTATTTATTTCTGTATTTTAGTTGTTGTTTTTTTCGTATATGTATTTCTGTATTTATTATTATGTCAGCTTTGGCGTTCCATGATTATCAGTATATGTGTTAGCTTGACTGTGTGTGTGCTGCCGCAGATCATCGCGATGCGGGACGGGACGGTCCAGACGCAGGGGACGCTGAGGGACATCCAGGCCGCCGAACCCGAGCTGTTCGAGCAGTGGAGGACCCTGATGAACCGGCAGAACAAAGTCAATCTCTTTCATATCATGTGTGCTTTAAAATAGAACCAATGATAATTATATCAATGCATGTATATCATTTATAATATAAAAAAATATTAACCATAAATAGCTCTCACTTTAGAATAGGTCACGGAATATCTGCTTTTAAACCAACATTTATTAGACATTAATTCATTCACATTCAGTGTTTCTTAAAATGTTTACGAATAAATTACAGTGACAATAAATGAAGAACTCACTGTTAGTCTATTAATGTATCAACTACAGTTTATAAACTATTAATTAACTATAAACTAGTAGTTTGTAAATTATTTATAAGTGCTTTGTTGCTGTATACTTATTATAAATTGTTACTAAGGAAAATTAATATTTTTATTTTTTTATTAATGTATTTATAAAAATAATTATTTGATATGATCTTTGATTTTCAAAAATAAATACATCAGAACATAATAAATGCAGTAAATAATGTATTTATTTTTTAAATGCTTCTTTGATATGATGTTCTTCTAAAATAAAATAAAACAATATTTGCCTTTTTAATTAATGTATTTATAAAAATAATTATTTGATAGGATGTTCTTCTAAAAAATAAATGTCAATACTTTTAATTTATGTATTAAATACAGTCAATTAGTGTATTTATTTTGTTGAATGCTTTGATGTTTTTAAAAAAATAAAATAAATATATATTAAATATATATGAATTTAATTATAAAAAATGCTTCTTTGATATGATGTTCATTTAAATTAAATAAATAAATGCAGATTTCTTTTACTAATGTATCTATACAACTTTTGATATGATGTTCTTCTAAAATAATATATATTTTGTATTTATTTATTTAAAAAAATCTTTGACAATGTTCTTTCCGAATAAAATAAATATATGTATTTTTAGTTTTTAATTAATTGATTTATATAAAATTTGTTCATCAAATAAATACATTCATTGTTTTAAGTAATTGTATTTATTTAATACAAATATTTATTTATTTATTGAAATGCCTTCTAACCGAGCTAACTAAATCAATGCATTTCGTAGCTTGATTTATGTCCTGTATCTGGTGTTGTTCTGTCATGAGCACAGGAGAACAGCACCGAACTGAAGAGGAAGAGTTTCAGACGGGCCATGTACTCCCGGGACACCCTGGCCACGGAGGACGAGGACGAAGGTACAGACACACACACACACACATCTGGGAACATGCAACTCACCGTCAACAACATGCGCTTCTGTTACGACACACACATCTGGGAACATAGAGAGAAACATGCATGCAACTCAAAATGTGCTTCAGTTATCATCAAAAATCAGGGAAGATAGAGAAAAACTCATATTCAAACTGTATTATTAATGTGTTTTTAGGTGCAAGAATTTATATACTCTAAAACAATGGTGACACTTTACAATCAGGTTCATTAGTTAATGTATTAACTAGCATGGACTAACCATTAACAACATATTTGTTACTGTATTTGTTAATGTTAGTTAATAAAAACACAGATGTTCATTGTTTGTTCATGTTAGTTCACAGTGCATTAACTAATGTTAACACGATTTTAATAAAGCATTAGTCAACTTTGAAACGAACATGCTGTATTCATTTCATGCTAACTAATGAAGTTAACTAATGTTAACTAATTAACCTTATTGTAAAGTGTTACCAAAACATTTGCTCATCCTTTGACAGATCATTATCATTATCCGGTTACATAACAACAGTTTTCTGGTATTTCCGCTCGTGTGCAGCCTTGCATCTGTCGCTGTGTGATCAGTGTGTGTGTGTGTGTGTGTTCAGTTCTGCAATGTGACTCTGCTGTTCTTGTCTTCATGTGTGTGTGTGTGTGTGTGTGTGTGTGTTGGACTCATGCTCAGCTGCTGATGTCTCTGTCAGTGAACTGAAAGGTCTGACAGACTCGATGGCATGACTCTTTGAGCGGATGAAGAGCATGAAGCCCGCGGGTGTGAAGCCACTGTAATGCATCGAGCTCCTTTCAATCGTAGAGTTATGTAATGCATCGACAACAATACTGAGCTTTAGTCATTGCATTAGGTATTCAGTGTGTAGGTGGAGAGTATTTTAAAGTGCTTTATGTCCATGAGAGATGCAAGGACACGCTTCTGTACTGACACTCACCCCATCCTGCACTATCTCCACGCTCGCGACGCTGTGCGAGTCTGAGGCATGAGATGCATGAAGCGTCTCCTCGTCCTCGTCCTCATCCTCACCCTCATCCTCGTCCTCGTCCTCATCCTCATCCTCATCCTCATCCTCATCCTCGTCCTCATCCTCATCCTCGTCCTCGTCCTCGTCCTCGTCCTCATCCTCATCCTCATCCTCGTCACGCATGCCGTCGCTCCTGCTAGTGTTCTGCATGTTTGTTCAATCATCCTTCGGAGAAAATCACTCTGTTTGATTCAATCATTGCTTCCAGATCAGCGTGTGACGGGTTATCTCTGATCATTGAACTCTTAAAGGTGCAGGGACTGATTTCTGTGCCATAGTATCAACCAACTCAATTTTACTAAATACATTTTATTTTTAAATAATGTTTATATTTCATTGTATGTTTTTATTTTATGTTTTTAAAGTTTTTTAAAATAGTTTTACTTTTTGTTAATGACAAATAATTTGACATATACAGTATATTATTTATATATATATATATATATATATATATATATATATATATATATATATACAGTGTTGGGGGTAACGAGTTACAAAGTAACGGATTACAGTAACGATATTACTTTTTTGGGTAACGAAGTAAAGTAACGCATTACACTAAAAATATCGGTAACTACACTACTTTACTATACTATAGGAACGCGCTTTCCTGCGTTACCCAAGCCGTGTTTGCTTGTGTGTAAAGTTCTGTCTAGTGGTGCGTGCGCACCGTTGCCATAGAGATCGATTTGAGTGACATAGCTGCCGGTGCGAAGGAGAGAGGGAAATGGAGACGGAGACGGAGACAGGGGGTCTCTGCAGCGCGAGTCTCCGCTGACTGCACGCGCACCTCCCCAAACGGACGAGGCGTTTATACTCGACGCGCTCGCCATTGTACTATTCTGTGAAACGACGGGGCGACTCGAGTAATTGTCCTCTTAACCATCAGGAATCAACGGTGAGAAGAAGAAAGGTCCACACGTGACGATGTTTATTTTAGTAGGCTACATCACCACCAATAACACTACAAAAAGAATCGTGTACGTAAAATCCAGTAAACCCTGAGATTATTACTTGTGACATTAGAACAAAATGTGGATATAAAAACATGTATGTAGACTATAGAACTAAATCAACGATCTCTTAAATGGTTTCTAATTTCACTAAACATTTCATTAAGTTTCGTGGACATTTGATAAAACATGGATCTTTCTATTAAAAATGCTTATTATGCTATTGTAGGCTCATTTTGTAAACATAAGCAACTGATTTAGACACGCAAACTGTGTGCCGATGCGGTCACGGTGAGACGTAGGCTACATGCTCGGGCAGATTCGGCTTCTTGAAGTCGTTCATCCTCGGATTCGGCGCCGCGCACGCTGTTACAAAAACTCTTCTCAAGTCTTGGAGCACAGCAGGTAACACAAAACAAAATGAACAGGCTTGTTGCAGGGTTCATTGTAGAGGAATGCTTCCCCTGCCGACTATTGAATCGCCAAGAAAAATGCATTTTAAATTAAGATCAAAAATGTAAAAGTGACCTTTATTTTATTATTTTTCATTGACCACTTCATTTTTTATTTTTATTGCCATGAGTCGAATAAAAAGCTTGTTTTGTTCTCAGGAGAAGAGTTTATTCTCATGTTTCCCAAAGCCTGTGTTTTAAAACTTGTGTGTTGACCCCATTTTAAAATGACCGCACCATAGCCTCCTTTATCCTGTTGTTTGTGGATTTTACAGTGAGATATATTTCCTTGTGCAGACAGGGATATTGTTCTTTCATATGGTTTTACATGCCATTTTGTATATATTTATACAATAAACACTATGTAGACAGGCAAAGTGATGATAGGGCTATGATATTTGTCCATAAATTAAGAAACGGGAAAGTAAAGTAATAAGTAGTGAAGTTACTTTTCAAACGCAGTAACTAGTAAAGTAATCTCATTACAATTTACAGAAGTAACTAGTAACTAGTAACTAATTACCTTTTTTGAGTAACTACCCCAACACTGTATATATATATATATATATATTAGTGCTGGGCAACGATTAATCGCATCCAAAATAAAAGTTTGTGTTTACATAATATATGTGTGTGTCCTGTGTATAATTATTTTGTTTAAATAAATACACACATATGCATGTATATATTTAAGAAAAATGTGTTATTTATATATAAAATATTTATATATACAGTACAGTACATGCAAATATTGCTTAAAATATATACATGCATATGTGTTTATTTATATTTACAAAATAATTGTACACAGTGCATTAATTGTTGCCCAGCACTTATATATATATATATATATATTATTTGGACTGAATGCAATTCCGAAATATACATTTCACTTTCATATAATTCGTTCCGGCTGATCTGAGCGTGATCTGTGGCTGAACTCTGCTTAATCTCGGTCAGAGTGAGATTGAATGGTGTTGTGTGTGTGTGTGTGTGTGTGCGTGTGCAGACAGCTCAGCCAGCACAGATGAGGAGAGCCTCAGGGCGGAGCTGCGTCACAGGACCCACATCCCCTGGAGCTCGTTGTTCTCGTACCTGAGATCTGCAGGCCTCGTCCTCCTCGCGCTGCTCGTGTTCTCTCAGCTCTGCAAACACACACTCATGGTGGCCATCGACTTCTGGCTCGCTCACTGGACCACACACGTCATCGCAGCGCAGATCGAGACCAGCGAGAGGAACTGCAGCGACACTGGGGTGAGAGAACTGACACACACACACACACACACACTCACCATTGCAGCGCAGATCGAGACCAGTGGATTGAACTGTAGCGACACTGGGGTGAGAGAACTGACACACACACACACCATCACAGCGCAGATCGAGACCAGTGAGAGGAACTGCACCTTCACTGGGGTGAGAGAACTGACACACACACACACAGACAGACAGACACAGACACACACACACACACACACACGTCATCACAGCGCAGATCGAGACCATTGAGAGGAACTGCACCTTCACTGGGGTGAGAGAACTGACACACACACACACACACACACACACACTCTCTCTCTCTCACACACACACACACACTCTCTCTCTCTCACACACATACACACTCTCTCTCACACACACATACACAAACACTCTCTCTCTCTCTCACACACACACACACAGACACACACACAGACACACACACACGCACAGAGACACACTCTCTCTCTCTCTCTCTCTCTCTTTCACACACACACACACACACACACACACACACTGCAGTAATATCAGGCTCTGTAGTCTCGAGGGTCTGACCGCAGCTGTGTGTGTGTGTGTGTGTGTGTGTGTGTGTGTGTGTGTGTGTGTGTGTGTGTGTGTGTGTGTGTCTCTCGCTCGAGTCCCAGAAGACTGTGTGTCCACTACTTTTCTCTGGTAAACGTGTTTCAAATTTTCCTAGAATTTTCATAATAGGGTAATTCCCGTTCAAAGGTTGGGTCTGTAAGATTTTTGTTTTTGAAATAAATCAAGGGTAAGGTCACACTCGTGAACACTCACTATAAGTAACTACAAGTGTGAACACACACAAACACTTTTATTCAGAAAGTACACATTAAAGCTACAATATGTAATAAAATATCCAAAGATCACTTGCACAGTGTGATCCATTCCCTGCAGTTGTGCAAGGAGTACTAACGACTAACGTTAACTTCGACAGAGATACTTTATTAGACAGGTGAGCAAATGTACATACAACTAATCAATGTTATACAGCTCAACATAATGACATGCTAGAATATAATCTGTATGTTATTCTAATGTTGATCAAGCTTATGCTAGTCTCATACAGCCAACAAACTAACACATAGAATAACATTATAACTTTAACACACTCAAACGCAGTTTAGTGTGATAGTGTAGAGCAAGTGGAACAGCGCTGAGTTACTTCACAAGTTTAATTTGTCTAATAAACTGACCTGTGAGTATTAATACAACACTTGTGTTTAGTTCGGTATAATAAAATGTCCTTATTCCTTTATATCCGCGGGACTCGCGTGTGTGTGCTGATATATCTGTCTCATTAGCACTCGAGCCCTGCTTTCACACCTCAGTCATGATAAACACATCACTGTATTCACTCATCCATAAACATTATTAGATCCATCCAGGGATCCATCGGCTTGACGACAAGCTCCATAATTCTGCTTTGCGTCATCAACCTTCGCCTGTGTTATTGTAAGAGGTTAGCGACCCCTAGCGGCGAAACAAAATACATACATATTGTAGCTTTAAATCAAAATCTACAAAGACATAATGTTGCAAAAGATTTCGATTTCTAATAAATGTCATTTGAACTGTGTGTTCATTAAAGAATTCTGGAAGAAGAATAAAAAATATCACTGTTTGCACAAAAATATGAAGCTGTTTTCAGCATTATTAATAATAAATGTTTTCTGAGCATCAAATCATATTAGAGTCAGGGGCGTCATGCAAGCCAAAAATCTGGGGGGGGGGGCACAATCTGAGACGTTGCAATTGTTTTCTGACAGGTGATATGGATCATGTTAGGAGGGGTCAGGGGGTTTCTCCCCCTGAATTTTTTTTTAATTCTGGCTGCTAAACATACCATTTCAATGCAGTTTGGGAGGGACAGAAATACCTTAACGGAGCTAGCAGCAACACTCCTCTATCTGATTCTGAGGACTAAGTTAAAGTATCCATTTTGTAAGTTTATGTAAAAGACAGGTTGATGAAAGAACTGTAAGCTCAAATTCAAAAGCTTTTGAAGTCTACTTCATTAAAGCATGTTTACACACACACTTACTGTACACTTAGGCCTACTACACATGATTTTAAAAACAGTACCATTGCAGTTTTTATGTTATGATTTTAAATTGGTATGTGACCTAAGAACGATCTTACATTAAAGGTAGCCTACATAAAGGTGCTGAGGTCTGACTTTGTGGTGCTCTGAAATTAAGTTATTTTAATATTAATATGTGATGAAGGACTTTGAAAGAAGTTTGACAGATTTCAGTGCTGAATAAGGTTAACACTACCCCGTTTATTTGAAAATGGTTAATATTTGACAGAAATGTAAAAAAGTAATCAAATCAAATGCAATATGTATAGCGATCTGTATAACAACTATGCTGTAGGGATTTGGGGGGTAGTCCTACTATGATATTAGACTACATTAAAAGATAATGAATTTCAAACCTGAACCAAACATATTTTTTAATTCAAAGATCAAAGTCTGTCATTAGTCTTTAGTCTGCCAAAAAAAAAAAAACCCATTAAAATCATGAACTCAAATGTCATTGTGAAAAAAAAAATGTGTTACTGTTGTAACAGTGTGTAGGCTAAATCAGACCTTTCAGGCTATAGCCTAACGCTAATAAGCCTTATGGCAAAATTATTATTACAACTAAATTGTCGGTCATTAAATAGGACAACTAAATAATTTTGTAGATGATTTGCTTTGTGTAGGCCTAACCCGACATCAGACATTATAAGGCCCGAACGAAGTTTTTTTTTGCACACAGTGACGCGACCAATCAATCACTCCTTTAATGCTGCGTTCACACCAGACGCGAATAGCGCGTCAAATTCGCGCCTACCGCGTCTAGTTATAGCCTACTACGCGTGAACACTTTGAATCCATTCGCGCATCAAGAGCAAATGACGCGTGTAAAAAAACTAAAGTTTAGACTGGCTGCCTGCACATTCACTGTCCTCGCGGCAGCGGCTGCTGCAATTGGAAGAGGCTGGCTGCAGGACGACTCAACTTCCACGGACAGTTTTTAATATGATATATCAAGATTTTGCTTTAGTATAATTTTCGGGACAATTAAGGTCGGTTTCGGGATTCGGGACAACAGCTTAGATTTCGGGACTGTCCCGAATTTTTCGGGACTTCTGGTCACCCTAGGGAGGAAAAATCTGAGGGGGCACGTGCCCCCTCACTTTGAATGGGCATGACGCCACTGATTAGTAGTGTTGTAGTACTCGAGACCGGTCTTGGTCTCGAGACCGGTCTCGAGACCACTTTTTGATGGTCTCGGTCTCGTCTCGGACTCGACCGCATTTGTACTCGGTCTTGTCTCGACAGTCTCGGTCTCGGACATTGAGGACTCGGGATTTTTTTTTTTCAAGACCATAACTGTGGAAATATCACTAAATTTCCAGTATATTGTCTATTTTTTTTGTTAACATCCTTGCTTTTATTGTATGTAAAACGTACTGATTCAAATCCAAGCAATAACGGGACTCATTGCTAATTATGTATTTTTGTTACCGCTGTCACCCATCCCCGCCCCCTTTCACTCGCAATCCCAAGAAAGTGAGCTGTTGTCTGGGAGAGGGAGAAGATGTCTGCATCATCTATCATAGTCTTATTTGATGGGTGAATAATGTAGACGAACTGCTGCGCGTGTGACGGGCGCATGTTTAACTGAAGAACGAGCAGAGAGAGAGAGAGAGAGCCCAGGTCGCGCGCGCGCACTCTCTCTCTTCGGAGCCAGGCGAAAGTGTAAACAAGGCTTCACCGTCTCCTAAGCGCTGTCTTGCTCTCTCTCCCTGGCACATATTAATCAAAATAAATCGACACGATGGTAAAAGGTCGGAAGACCACATTTTCATGTGGAGCATTCGGATATATTTTTTTCCTGAATTACCGCTGGGTGTGAATTGTGCTAAAATACCTTATCTTCTCTGAAAAGCGTTCCGCACATTCAGCTGACATAAACCATGCACACTTTAAATAAACGAAAAAACCTATCCAAACCTATCTTGGGCATTTTTGCACACTGTAAAAGATGCTGGATATAATGTACTGTAGCCTACATCAAATGGTCAGTCAGTCATGTTTTTGTGGTGTTGTGCAGTGCTACTCATCTATGTGTTTATCCATTGCAGTGAGCTTGAACTTATGAAGAGTGTTTTGCCACTGCAGTTTGTTAAGGTTTGGCATATGATGAAACTGCTCCCAATTAAATCAATTGAGTACTTTTATAAATCACATGCAGTTAGGCCACTGACTTTCTGACCTCTTTGTATTAGATATCTTTTGTTGCTTTGATAACACATAAAAGCTATAAAAGACTCTTACTTACAATAGTTGTTCCTAAACATTAACATTTCACATAGAATTACTGTATTCATTACAATACACAGCTTTTCTGCATTTTAAATGTTGACTGTTTGGCATTTCTTTACACATTTAGCTATGTGGTTAAAAAAAAGGATTATTGTTGCTTTAAAAACAACATAACTTTATGTATTGTATATAAAAGGCGGAGAAAAGTGAAGACTTTAGTGATGAACAATGAATAGTGTTTTACATTCTGTACTGAATGATGGAAGTCACCCAGGAGTATTGAATAAAGATGGTTAAGTTTATTTCAGCTTTAAATGTTTAATATCTAGGTGTTTGATCAATTTGAGAAGCTCTTTTGATCATGTTTCACATTTTATTGTGTCATGTAGTGTGGGGCGCTGGTCTTGGTCTTGACTCGGTCTCGCCCTCCCTGGGTCTTGGTCTCGACTTGGTCTCGGCCCCTAAAAGTCTTGGTCTTGTCTCGGTCTCGATACACTTTGGTCTTGGTCTTGTCTTGGTCTCGGGTTAGGTGGTCTTGACTACAACACTACTGATTAGAGTGATTTCTGAAGGATCGTGTGACACTGAAGACTGGAGTAATGATGCTGAAAATTCAGCTTTGATCACAGGAATAAATTATATTTCACTTTATATTCATATCGAAAACTACGGAAGAGGATTAGGGCCAAACAATAATAAACAAATAAAACCATCTCCAGATTAAAGTCATTATAATGCGAGATTAAACTCTCTACATTTTCTCTCTACATACTTATTCTCAACGTTTTATTTCGAATATTTTTCTCAATTTAACAAGTTTTTGCTCAAAACACGACTTTATCCTCAAAATGTAATGTTTTAATTCTCAACATTTTATTTCGACTCTTTTTCTCCCAAGTTTAATCTCGCTTTATAATGACTTTAATGTTTTTTTTTTGTTTTTTGTTTTTTTGCTTGGCCCTAATCCTCTTCTGTAGTAAATGGCTATTTTAAAATGCAATGATGTTTCACATTTTTTACTGTATTTTTGATCAAATAAATGCAGTCTTGTTGAGCAGAAGATTCCCAAACGGTTCAATGCATCTTCAGTTATTAGTAAAACACTGCTTTAAGAAGGAGTTGTGTGTTTTCAGTGTGTGTTGATCATGTTCCCGTTCTTCTTCGTTCAGGAGTGTGTGTTCCAGCACTCGCTGTACCTGCAGGTGTTCAGTGTGTTGTGTGTTCTGGGGATCGTCCTGTGTCTCGTCACGTCTCTGGCGGTCGAGTGGACGGGTTTACGAGTGTCCAGAGAGCTTCACTGCAGCCTCCTCCGCATCATAGTTCTCGCGCCCATGAGGTGTGTGAGTGTGTGTGTGTGTGTGTGTGTGTGTGTGTGTGTGTGACTGAAACCACATGCGTGAGCTGTTCTGTGTTTCCCTCAGGCTGTTCGAGACAACGCCACTGGGGAACATCCTGAACCGGTTCTCCACTGATACCAACACAATCGATCAGGTACAGCCGCTTTACCCTCAGCTGCTCTTCTGGCAGTTTTGACCGAACATTTTTCTTTTTTTGGAATGGTATGAAACTTGGTAAAGGTTTTGGCACTTGCTGTGTGAACACACACACATGGCTCTCAAGTTTTGAAGACAGGCAAGAGTGACATCCCCCCAATCAGGGAACAGGCTGTAAAACTATTGGCTAAGTTACAGACACTCATGAAAAACTGATGCTAATTATCTGGGAAACGTTCTCTAACAGCAGTCAAGCTGTCATTGTTTGTGTCAAACAAGTTGTGAATTTGTTTTAACATTAAAACAGGAGATCATGACTTGGAAGATGTTGTAGCAGAATCACGTGACCAATTCCAGGAAATGCTTTTTTTTCCATTGGTTGTTGCATTAAATCTTACCCAGATACAATAGTGCTATTTTCTGATTGGCTATTGTGTAGCCCCTTTCTTTTTTTGATTGGCTAATAAGTGGCAGGCTCGACAAAGAACTCCAGGGGAGACGCGCTTGATTCCTGCCGGTTCCACAGTGAGAGCGGCGCGGCCAGAGACATTTTGCAACATTTAAAATATATTATAAATAGTTTTTCCGCGTGAGAAATACAATGTGTGGCGGGAGTGCGTGACAAAAGACCGAAATGAGTGACTGTCACGCTCAATGCGTGACACTTGAGAGCCCTCACACACACACACACTAAATAATGGACATGATTCAAACAGGTTCAATGGTCCTGAAAGAAGCAGTCCCACTTGTGCTCCTCGCGGTCAGGAACGAGCGCATTGGAAATGAATGGAGAGTTTCCTCTAGTGGAAGCGTTTGGAACTGCAGCCGAACACACTCTCACTGAAAGATAATTTTTTTTAGATATCAAGCTCAAATTTTAAACACAACTTGTTTAGATTTATGGCTTTGATTTTCTCACCGTTTTAGAATAAAAAATGTTTTTTAAAATATATATTTCATATAAAAATTGAAAATAGTATTTGTGTGCAGTTTTCATAAGAATAAACGTAAAATCCTGTATCTTTTTTTAAGTTCACTTTTTAAAAACTTTTTTCACTTCAGCAATAATCTGCCGAGTGTCGTCTTTGATCAAACTTCAGTCTGTCGCTCTAAAGCATTCAAGATTCACGACAGTTTAAGTTGGAAATTAAATGTTCAGGTCTATGCTCAAAAAGTGAATAAATTGATTATAAATACAGCGTAAATATAATGTAGTGCCATAAAATCCCCTAAAATACAAAATATTAAATAAAAAACATTATCTAACGAAAATATAGTACATTAATTGCATTGAAATAAAAAATAAAACAATTCGGTAACACTTTACTTGAAGGGGTGTGCATAAGACTGACATGACACCTTCATAATCATGACATGACACATGTCAAGAATATGAAGGAGGTTTTATGCATGTTTATGACAACTGTCATTAAGTGTCATTCACTCAATTATGACATTTTTAATGCAAATATGACATTGTTTGAGAAGTCTTTGTTATGACAACTTGACATAAACCAAATACATCATAACCTGTCAGTGTCTTGGTAATGACAACTTGACATTACCAAGACAACATAACCTGACATAAATATGACATTTTAATGACAAATTCAATGTGTACCACTGTAGTTGTCGAGGTCAAGAAAAATATTCATGACACAGTTATAATGGCCTTATGACAGCTTTATGTCAAAACCAGACATATGACAGTTTGATGTAATGTTAACCCATAAAGCTTAGTGGTTTCATAAGTTTGATAATTAATCTGCTATGTCATGTTTATGACATCATTTATGTTGTCTTCTTGGTAATGTCAAGTTGTCATTACCAAGACACTGACAGGTTATGATGTATTTGGTTTATGTCAAGTTGTCATAACAAAGACTTCTCAAACAATGTCATATTTGCATTCAAAATGGCATAATTGAGTGAATCACACTTAATGACAGTTGTCATAAACATGCATAAACCATCCTTCATATTCATGACATGTGTCATGTCATGATTATGAAGGTGTCATGTCAGTCTTATGCACACCCCTTCAAGTAAAGTGTTACCAACATTTCTGTAATTTTTGACCGACACGCGGAGAGCACCCGAGGGTTACAGAGACACGTGTCACATGTCGTGTGTGTGTCTGATCTGAGATCTGATGTTCCGGTGTAACTCCAGCATATCCCGGTGACGATGGAGTGTTTGATCCGCTCGACGCTGCTGTGTGTGTCAGCGGTGGGCGTCATCTCGTACGTCACGCCGGTGTTCCTCATCGCGCTGCTGCCGCTGGCCGTCGCCTGCTACTTCATACAGAAGTATTTCAGAGTCGCTTCCAGGTGAGAACTTACAAAACACACTCAAGAGGAACAATGCCTGGGGTTACAGTTCCTCTCCATTTACCAGGGCGTAATAAAATGTATAACAGGTTATCTAGTATAATATAGTGCCATTGGAGATATTATATTACATTTCCTATTATTTCTGAAAAAATTTAAACTCTTTAATGATACAAAATCATATTTAATTTTTATAATTTATTACATTTTATTTTTTATATATTTTATATTTAATGTTGTTTTTTTTGTATTATATTTCCTATTATTTCTCAGAATTTAAAAATGTTCAAGCAATATATACCGTTGTTTTTTTGTATTATATTTATCATTATTTCCCCTTTTTTTTTAAACGTTTAAATCGAACAAAATGTACATATTGATTTTTTAAAATGTATTGCATTTGTATTTTTCATTCTATATATAGGCCTATATATGTGTGTGAATATATGTGAATGTATTATATTTTATGTTGTTTTAGTAAATGTAAAAAAGCTTTAATGATACATACATTTTTATATTTAATTTGTGTAACTTATTACATTTAATTTTTTTTATATTTTAAATTTAATGTCATTTTTGTATTATATTTCCTATTATTTCTCAAAACGTAATGTTACAATGATACAAAATGTTTATATATATATAAATAAATATTTTTTTTTTTAAATAATTCACAAAATTGTAATCTAGTCTATTTCAATAACTGGTGATTGTATCCTCTGGTGTGTGTGTGTGTGTTGGTGTGGTTGCATGTGTGTGTGGGTGGTTGTGTGTTTGTGTGTGATTGTGTGTGTGTGTGTGTGTGTTAGAGACCTGCAGCAGTTGGAGGACAGCACTGAGATGCCGCTTCTGTCCCATTTCTCTCAGACCGTAGAGGGGCTCACGACCATTAGAGCGTTCAGGTACCACACACACAACCACACGCAGACACACACACACACAAACACAACCACACACACACTGTGCTGGATATCGACTGTGCTGTGTTTGGTCTCAGGCACGAGCAGAAGTTTAAGAAGAAGCTGCTGGAACACACCGATGCGAATAACATCTCCTCGCTCTTCCTGACGGCGGCCAATCGCTGGCTGGAGGTCCGCATGGTAATCACACATCCACATCTGTTCACATCACACATATTCATATCCATATACAGTAGTCAACATTCGAAGTGGATCAAAAACCTTTCATCAAAGTTATACATGATGAATTTTGAACATCATTCTTGTCTTAGGACAACTTTGATTAACTTTTTTGATCCACTTCAAATGTTGACTACTGTATATACCACATATATATTTGCTTATTATTAATTACAGTATGTTATGACAATAATCATTTATAATCATTTATAAGATGCATGTTGTCCCAGGGAACCGGGTTCTGAGAGCTGTTTGTGTGCAGGAATACGTCGGGGCGTTTGTGGTCCTGATCGCGGCCGTCGCCTCTATAACCAGTGCGTTATACAGCCAGCTCTCGGCCGGACTGGTGGGACTGGGACTGACCTACGCATTAATGGTAAACTGGGGAACTCAAGCCTCCACACAACCCTTGCCAGAGGTGGACAGAAACAAAGCACATTTACTAGAGTACTGCACTTAAAGGGATCGTTCACCCAAATGAAAACCAGCCCATGATTTACTCAGCCTGAAACTTCTTGCACAAAATAAATTCAAGCTTAGTGAACGAGTATAATAGCAAAACACCGAGCAAAGAAGTCGAAACAGTACAGATAGAGGCTGTTCTTATGTTACGTCATCTTACCTGAGTGTTTCTTGTCGAATATTTCAATATTCAGTGGAGTGGAATAAAGAAAGTGTTTAGCAGGATTGATATTCAGAACGGTAAGCACGCACTGCTTTGTTTACGGTGTGTATCTGCAGCCGGCAGCGTCGGTTTCCCATTTTGAATGACGAATATAGAGAATATATCTGCAGAAATAGACAGACTAGCTGACAGTCGGCAGTAGTTCTCTCGGTGTGTTCAAGTGCAGCTTTTACCCCGACGCGACGCAACAACACAGTCGGCTTTCATCAGCGCTAGTTCGTCGGCGTCGGCTTGGTGTGTTCCCGGCTTTAAAGGCTCAGTATGTAGGTTTTCGCCACTAGAGTGCGCCTATTCAAAACAGTAAATTCTGGATGGCTTGCGTTGCTAAAGCCTAGTTCACACTACATGATTTTAAAACGTCGGGCTGAACTGTGCGGTTCACACTACATGACTTGCTCTCTGTGAAATCAGGAGTGTTCAAGTTGTTGAGCTAGTTCACACCACACGATCCGCAACAGGAGGTAACGCTCTACACGAGTTGACAACAACTCTGTCACCCAACGATTCTATCTTGTCTACAAACCACGTTTTGTCACGAAAAATCACGCGATAAAACGAACCGGCAATGACGCGAAACAGCACGCGCGCCAATACCTAGCGAAGAAGACAAGAAGAAGAACACAACACGCGAACATGCCTTGCTCTGATTGGCTGTAGCTCATGACATCACGTGAGCTTCAGTCGTGCGACAGCTCTGGATATCTAGCATGCTAGATATTTTTCTGGGCTCGGCGACGCGTCTGCGAGCGTCTTTGAAGCGTTGTTAGCTCTTTCATACTAACAGATTGGCGAGCGTTCATCGCCC